TTACTCTACACCAATTCCGTCGTGTCTGTCGGGCCGGGCAAAGGTCTCGGCGTAAATCAGGCTCCACCGCTTCATGACGTATCCAGTCCATACGGCCGCGGTTAATCGACCGAAATTTGGGGGAAATTCAGTCTCACGTAAACACGGCCGCTTTATCAAATGTCCAAATGCGTCGGGTGCTTACAGCGACAAGAGCTGAGGTCGCCGGTCCTGATCTGTGCCGGAAGCGAACAGTTTCTTACCACCCGGAGTTTTTGAATGACACGAAAATTTAGACTACTTAGGTTTTAGACTGGAATGACGAGGGTCAGGGTACTTAAACTAAGAAACCCACACAGGCGTCTTACAAATATTTCTGTCACCTTGTCTGAGAAAATATTAGACTCGATATTGTTATAATATCCTAGAGACAAATTATAAATCTGTACATAAAACCACAAAAAGTATTTTAATACACAAAGAATATTTTCATCTATGAGGGAGGTAATAATATATTTTTCTTTATTTCAATTTATAATTTTTCTCGTTTATCTTTTGAGTGTCGGCCATCTTCGCAAGACCCGTCGAGGACATCGCGACTACAGGCGGTGATTTTTCATTCCGACATTTAATTCTGGACGTGTCTTGTGTGCGCGCATGCGTAGACGAGATCGATGTCGCAAAGTACATGATTCAAGGCCACAGGGCATTCTAACTTATCACAGAATAAAAACCATGTCGACTTTTACTAAAGTCAGAAAAAGTCCAACGTTTCAGAAATAACAACGTGCCCGAACTCCACACACGGGCCGAATTCCAAGACGTTCCTCGCTCCGACTCTATCAGAAAGCTCGTACCACATCAGTCATGCCTTCTATTTGCTCTGCTCATCAAAATTACTTCTCCCGTAGCACCGTCCCAGCTTTGCATCAAGGGGTATTCGATTTGAATCCCGGCCACGACGATGCATGAAATGTTCCGTGTTTTACCTCAGTCTCTCGAAAAGATCTGTCTCCAAATTGTTACTTAAAAGGGTCTTTTCTAAGTTGACACGTCCTCAATACTAGATAAGATACGTCATCGCCAAAGCAGACGGATCGTAGATGAGTAGATTGGTAACAAATTACGGTATAAATAAATAAATAAATACGAAAATAAACGAACATTAATGAGCTCTTTTGAAGATGAAAATAAATCACAAAATTGTAAACACAGATCACATATGGCTAGTGTCAATATGAAATATCATTTATATCTAAATCACGCGGCTATAATAATAAAAAGTGCCACGTACAACAAGTAGTTTCCGGGGCGGGGGCCTCAGGAGTCCCTGCGCACGTGCAGGGCGCGCGCATCGCGACCGAACAGCTCATAAAGACGCCATCACCCTCAGCGTCACTAGACGTCGGGTGGGAACTCGAGGAGTCGTAGCAAACAGCGGTTGGCAACTTTAGGTCTGAGACATTTTCGGCCGGCATGTGGCTGTCCGCACCCTCGCGGGCCCTCCTGGTTGGGATCGCGGTCCTCTTCATAGTTTTCTCACCACAGGCAAGTTGTCATTACTACTATTACTATCAAGACGACGAACGCTATTACGAACCATAACTGTATCTGTTGTTTTGTATGGGTTTGATACTTGGATGTCTGAGAAGGTGCAGAATAGAATATTTCGACATAAGAATGACGACGTAACAAAAGACGTTTTACGCTCTCCAAGCAGTGATCGTGTTTTATCGTAAACGCTGACCGACGTTTCAGAGATGCTTACTTCCTCAATCTCGCCCTGATGATAGGAGTAGTAGGCAACTCTGAAACGTTAGCCAATTTCTACTCGTCTGCAAGGCGCAACATCCCAGCAGGACTTTATCTAGACAGCGTCAAATCTCACTTGGTTCAATAACTACCTACTGCCTCAGTAAGTCTGTTAAGTAATCTTACATGCCCTACCGAGATACTGTAGCGCGTTTTAAAACGATCTTATTGGTTCTTTAATGTCCACACGCTATAGAACACAAATTGCGGGACAGATTTTGATCAAACTCGGCATGACAGAATCGCACTAAACTTAGTCGAGTCATTTTTATTTTAATTAATTCTGATTTATGTCAGTGTTATTATGAATGGTTTCACCCTTTGACATCGAAGCTCATCTAAATTATATTTTAAGAATTCAGTCCGTACCGCGAAGAAAACACAACACTTCACCATTACAAAGATCGAATGGTTAACGCTGTTTAAGGAAATAATCGCTGTTTACAGTGAGAATCATAGTTCGTCTAAATTACATTTAAGAATTCAGTCCGTACCGCGAAGAAAACACCACACTTCACCATTACAAAGATCGAATGGTTAACGCTGTTTAAGGAAATAATCGCTGTTTACAGTGAGAATCATAGTTCGTCTAAATTACATTTAAGAATTCAGTCCGTACCGCGAAGAAAACACAACTCTTCACCATTACAAAGATCAAATGGTTAACGCTGTTTAAGGAAATAATCGCTGTTTACACTGAGAATTATACGAAACACAAATACAAAATGAAGAGTTTTTAATTGTCGAAGAAAATGGTCTTGAAAGAGATAAATTAACTTTTACGAGTAATTTCTTTCGTATTTTCGAAGACAGTCATAAAACTAGACACAGAACACTTTTATTATACAGTTTTAACCATAAGCAAGTTTCACTACTTGCAAGACCAAAATCAGCCTACGTAAAAGTCTGGTACAGATTATATTTTGGGCATATTTGGCGTATAAAATGCCACAAATAAAACTTTCGCTCATCCATAGACTCCACATTTTACAATATCAACACAAAACCATTTGATTTTTTAAAAAAACGCACTACAATAATAAAACATACTTGATAAATAAGCTTGATCGAAAGCTCCTGCTGTACCATCTACCTGAAGCATGTGTAAGCGCGTACCTTTTTTTTAATTACATTGACTGTGCCTGTATATTTTCCTTTGTGGCTGTAAACACATTTCCACGTTCACAAATGACGCAAACACGCAAGAGACTGCTTCAAGGTCAGTGCGCGCATCGACATGATTACTCGACGTCTCTTTCGTCAACACGTCGAGTCCGTCCGTTTGAATAGCAACAGAACAAACATCTGCAGGCCACAAAATCTTCATTACTTCAGCGAAAACACGGAACTGTCTGTCTGTCTACACGCGTTTCAGTAGCTACGTTTTTAAATCACCTACGATTAGACTTCCCTCCGGGTCATTTAGCCTGTAACTAGTGCAGATCTATTTCCGGAACAAGTTTTAAACCTCAACCGTCACAATCCCGCCGATGACAAGTGTTTCGTGATTTTTCTCTGTCCTTCCAACGAAGGTGATGTAACTTGACAAGCGAAATTGTTATAAATAATCCCGTCTATTACAATCAGTTTAGGACGTCCATCGAATGGATACTTCACGGGAAAAGCATCGGTGTGACAAATGGAAAGTCGACTTCACAATGAGCCGAAGCCTGTAACAAACGAGCTGGGAAATTCTGGCATCAGCTTTGGGTCACAAGCCGGTTGATGCGTTGGCCGGGTAAGCGCGTATCACTGGCATCACAAATCCCGCAAGAGTTTACAGACACAATAGGACACAGAGCTGGGGGGCGATTTACCACAACACGCAAGAGTGGAACAACGAAGTCACAATCAGTCGCTTGCCTGCGATCTATAACGTACTTCACGACTGCGTATGCATCGGGCCTAACACGATGATGAAATTCTCCAAAAATTCAAACTCTACCGAAAACGCTGATAAAATACGGCACAAAAGTCGAAAACTTGTAAGCCAGGGCACTTCAGTCTCGTCACATTAAAAAGATTCAAAATTACATTAGCTTATAATTAATTTGTTAAACATTAACAACGATTAAAGCAATTATAAATGCGATACATACTTCATATTATGCAATAACGTTTGTATGCGAAGAAATTTTTGAGAGATTTTTACAAAATTAAAATTGTAGTTTTACGCAAAGCATGGTTATCGGTAAACTTTTCCCGCGAACTTCAACACAACATCGTAAAAAAGAGCCCTCGCCGTTAAGCGTTCACTTTATCTGCAGGGCACGTTGTACAGAATCGCAAACATACCGTGGAACAACTTAAAATAAAGTAGTTTTCCACACTCCCCCGTTCCTAAGTGACTGGATAATTTCAAAATGGATCTCCCGAGAGAAACAAAAGACGAATCACGAAACTTCCGACGGAAGACGCTTGTGATGTCGGCAAAGAACCGTCGTGTTACATAAGACGCGAATAATTTTTTAACGAGCTCGGCGGCTATCAGGTTCTCAAGGACTCTCCTTCATTAAATTAGGTCGTTACATAATTAGGCTCTCCCAGCGTCAAAAACCTGGACCATTCTCCGTATTCTCACTTATATCACTTCTGATCTGCGAGTCAGCGCTGGCTGTTAGTACGGGTTGCCCTCTGTCGCCTCAACAGGCCGCAGAAACCGCGGCCCGTGTACAAGGCTTGTAGCACCAGATTACGACGGGATTACACGCAACAACAGATCCCACACTGGGGTCCGCGAGCGATAAAAATACCCCCGAGGCAGCCGCGGGTTCGACACCATGCCGGTGGTCTGTTCGACGTAACTCCGTGTCTTCTAGCAGATAAAGGAACGAGGGTTCATTTCCTACGTCATCAAATATAAAATATTTCTCCCGGTCCTTATACGATTATATTAAATTTTAGACGTAAAGGATACAAATAAACTGCACGTATTTTAAAGTCATTTCAATTGAGATTTAAAATTTCAACAAGGAAGCAATTAAAAAATATAGTCGAATTAACGGAGATACAAACTAGAGGGGGAAAAAGACTTTGAGGATGGGATAGAACCGGTTCAAGATAATATAAAACGGAGGACTTTGGTAAGAGCGGTGTTGAACCTCCGGGTTCTGTTGTCGGGGAATTATTAGGTCGATATATAAACGGCCAACTCTATCGTTCTTGTTGAGGAAGATAAAAAGTTTCAAACTACACAGAGAGTTTCATGACGTCATTTCCAAATAGCGGCCGGAGTTCCACAGATTTACGAACGTGGCTACAGCAGACGTACTTGAAACAGGGTGACGTATGTTTTGTTCCAAGACAGACGAGACAACTGCAATCAATTGTGAACCCAATGAAGGCGAATATCGGATCATACTCTAAGTTCATTACGTTCTGCTCAGTGGGCAGGAACGGTGCTGTGAATGGAGAGCGGGCTATCTACCGACGCCATTGTTCGATATCGCTCAATAATAACGGCGACACAAATAAACTTCCGCGAAAACCAAATTTAATATGAAGTCACTCAACATGAAACGCACTCAGAATTACCTTCCGGTGTGCGTCCTTACCCTGAGAACGGCTCCGTCGTCCGACGCTGAAGTCTGCTTCCAGGTCTCAGTGTTCCAGAATTTGCCTACCGACGAGGTCGCCAGGCGCAGTGGGCGTCGAGGCACGTCTGCGTTCATTTTTCAGAGCTGCAGTGACCGGTTGTCTGTGAGAATACAAAATTCACGAAGGGTGTTACTTAGCCGACTTTCGAAATTACGCAGCGTCTAACAAGCACAATCACGACAATGATTACTAATTCGTGGGCCATTTAACGACGTCATTTCAACTTCAGGAGTCATACAGCGTCGAGGGATATTAAAATAACAGGTTGTTTAAATGATGAAGTCACTGAAGATGGCAGTCTTCTGGGTTGTCGCGCCGTGTAGTCTGGTAGATGTTTACCGACGTTTCGAAGGTCCTTGCTGCCTCCATCATCAGGGCGACTCGCTCTGACGAAGGAGACAGGAAGGCATTTGATCGTGGAGTCAGCGTTTCAACAGCCAGCCACGAGGACCGACATGTGGTTTCTGGTTCGGAGAAATGGAATCAGGACAATGTCACAGGGACGAGGTAACTGAACAGCTCCCATATCACTGATGTGTGGGATGGCAATGCTGCAGCCGTTCGTATGTTTCTGAACAGAACGATCTGTCGTCATTTGTCTCTAGCCCCAGTCAGGTTTGTTTCCATTGTTCGAATATGAATGCTCTCAGCCACACAGTTGCCATAGAAATGAGTCTAGAAGCTTGCGTTGTTAGAAATGAGCGTGCTAATTTGTAACCACATTTTTCCTTCTTTTATTTTTCATTCTGTGAAAGACTGGGGGGGGGGAAACTCATAAGTCCACGCTAAGCACTGTGTACGACAAATAAGTACAACTTTGTAGAAGAAGCTAATAGATGGAAGCTGCTCATTTTGAGTGAGCGAACATCGTGAAATGGCTTTAAAATTATCTACTGCTGCAAAAAAAACAGCTCCATCGTAAAAAATTGATGTTTGCGCGAACAACGGTGGACGGGAAGTTTGTTAAGTAATTACACTGCAGAGATAAAAAAATGTGAAAACCAAATTTCGTTGAAAACTAATCAGCAACTCCTCCTTTCGAACTGAGGCGTGCTTCATAATCGGGACACCTTCATCTCGGTCGAAACTTGGGATTATGATTGAGACCTTTCGTTGTTTTCCTCAGTCCTCCCACACGAATGTTGGAAACGTCAACATTGTTTGCTTTCGTTAACATTTGTGGATCAACATCCGTAAAAACTAAGCGGTGGGCAAATGGCGGGCTTTTGTGAGTACAGTAATGAACCTTAGGGCTTCGTAAAAGACGGCGAACTCCTTTATCACCTGGGCGACTATCAGATTCTCAAGAAAAATTATGCTGCATATCGAAACCGATCGAGGCAAAACTCCGTTTAAACCAGCGACAACGTGAACAGGAAGTGAATAAGAAGAAACACTTGAACTGACAAACGGAAACACAAAGAAGACCCGTGTGAAGAGACAGGGCAAGGACACGTGGCTGAAGGACCCTTAAACCTAAAGGAAGACGAGCGAAACGAAGACCAGACCAAGTAGAAGATGGGAAGAAGCCTTTTGAGGCCGGTACAGGCACTGAATTTCGCAATCCATAAAGACAAAAAGGGGGAAAGTCAAAACGTTCCTGAAGAAGTCACATTTCTCAAGCTCCGAACTCCTGTAACGATATCGTGAAGATATCGATTCTATAAAAATCGAAACAGAACACGAGGCAGTACTTTTCAAGTCCTGTGTCGTTCTGTTCTGCTTTAAGCTCCATTTCTTCGGATACATCATCGATCGATGCTCGCTCTGGTGAGTCGAAACAGGAAACAAATCTCAGACTTCCGAGAGTTTTTTTTTTTTTTTGCCTCTCTCAGGAATCAGTTTCCCGAGGTATTCGATTTAATCCTCTAACGAAGCAAAATTGCTTTATGACATTCGCGGTACTTGCAGGACGACTGGGAATTGAAGAGGAGACACGAACAACAACAAAAGCCCACGTTCATAAAGATAATGAGGAAGCTGATCCGATTTAAACTCCGACGAAGCGATTCACCGCCTGAACAGAGAAGACAATGACATCTAGTAGGAGCCACTTCAACTTACTCTTAACGCAAATCTGGTGTGTATAAATCGGCCGCAACGTGAGTCTAATATCTAATGTCATTTATTCAAAGAATGTGTGGAGTTTCGTCTCCATTCTGACCAGCTCCACGCCTCTAAAGTATCCCATCGCCTTGAGTAATTACTTTCGGATCGTTACCCCGTAATTTATAAACTGATAACGCGATGGGGAGGTAATGTCGGATATCGGCGAAATTTGGTACCGGGAATCTTAACTAAAATTGTCGACCTAATTCAACCGACTTCGTAACGGTTACAGGAAGCTCAAATCAATGGGACGATAATATTAAAATTGATATTAGAGAATAGGACGTGCAAACTGTAACTGTGAGGATCTGACAAGGGACAGGGTATAATAGTGTAACAGTGGGCTATTGTGAAGACGGTTAACATCCCTTGTGGTTTCATAAGAACACGGAACTTCTCAACGGGCCGCGCAACCCCAAACTTCTCAAGAAATATCCCCACTATTAATCATGAAACAGGAAACTTCCAGGCTCACAGATGCATTTAAGCTGTCTGCGAGTTTACATTCTGACATTTGCGAGCAATACAAAACACTAAGGCAAGCAGAACGAAGGATTCAGCCACGTTCCACTGCGCAATGAGCAGCTATTTCTTGTCTGCATGACAACCGGGCTACGCTGTTAGAACGCTTTCGATTTCGCCGATATCAGATGAAAACAGAGCTCCAGCTCTCTAAGACTCGAGGTCTCTTTTATTGAACCAACATCATAAACACAAAAGCTTCATGCAAATTCTTTATTCTCATTCAAAATTCAATAGCTGTAACCTCATGAGTTATACTGAATATTAACTCTCTGCCCACGCCAAGGCTTTCAATACATTACACTTACTCCTAAAGCAACAGAGAATAATATATTCAACTACTGTCTATAAGCTACTCAAAATGCAGAACAAGCCACCCGGCGAAAAAATCGATAATGAGACAAACACCATATGTAAATACCAACACAAATCCATCAACTCTACAATACAACAAAAACTGGCGACCCTAAGCACCAAAGTCAAGAGAGGCGTACAGCAGACTGAATATACTTATAACGCATCGTACGGAATAATAATGACCCCTAACAATTTTCATACTACAACATATACATACATTCACATGCTCAATTAATAACATTGTTTTACCAAACGCTTAGAAAACTTAATCTCATGGTAAATGATGAAGTTAGAGAAGGGGTTTAAAACGGAGGTGCTAGCATTACTGAGGAAAAACAAGAGAATTATAAGTCTGGATAGTAGGGTTTCTGGCACAGACTCAAACCCGTGAAGTCCGAAACAAAGTCACCCGAGGACTGACCAACCCGAATCAAACTCCTGATTCTTCATTTTCGAACGATTCATTTTTAAACAGGCTCTTAGTTCTGTCTTCCGCTACACTCCCAGGTCCGCATTACGTGCGTACCCCAAAAACAGAGTTGGTTTTCCCATATTCAAACAGAATTAGTATTTCCAAGTAACGCAGAAAGACCACCATAACAAAAAAAAACTCCCAACTGGAAAAAAGGCCCCTTTATTTACAGATTTTGTTTAACGTTCTATGTTTTCTCAACGATTCTGTATGTACACAGCAGAGCCTGCATTTCATCTGTCGTTATGGAAACAGCGCTTTCAAGCACGAACTGAATCGTTGGAGCATTTCGCCGTGATAATGCGGCAACTTCTCCGACAAGGAAGCGCAGCGTGTAGTCTAAACATTTCTGCAGGCGCTAGCTGCTCTGCAAAGCTCAAGACGCAAACTTTGCGTGAATATAATAAGACGGTGCATTCAAATGAACAACGACTACGAAGTTTAAGCGAAATACAGGATCTTCCTTCAGCAGTTTAAATCAACTGGCCGAGCAAGAAATTCTTTGCTTTATGTAACCCTGAATGTCGGCATTCTTTGGTGCAGAGATAATGACAGACATCCGCATGCGAGGCGTGCAGACGCCACGAGAAATTTCAGATATGATACTAGGGTCTCCCAGCCGACATATGAACTCAGGACCTCCCGACTACGACACAATCAGCATCGTTTAACAATTTCCTAACAAAATTGAGCCAATAGAAGTTGCATGATTTACAAACATTTAAGGGCAATGAAGAAAGAAATCAAGGCTGTCACGACGAAAGGCGACAGACGTTTCGACACCCCCCCCCAAAAAAAAAACTCGTTTAATGTCTGAAGTTACGAGCGATAATGCCACTGAACATGCCAGAATCTAAGTTCGTCAAAGAAATAAGTTCATGAGGAAGCACGAGCGATGTTGGTATTAAGTTTCTGAGAAATATGTAGCATCCCGTTGCCTCGGCAACGAACCTCCTTCCACATACTTGCGGCTACGAAGCACCTGAGCAGCTGATGACGGCAGACAGCGCCAAAAGTCACGAAACGTCAGACGCCCGCGGCTTCAACGGGCAATGGAACTTATCGCATTCCTGAACAAAAGGACGATGCCAGTTCGCCCAGTTGGGTCAGCACCAGCGTGCCTTTAACAGATGCAGATGGATTCGTGGAATTCTGTCCCGGCCACCGAAGTGTACGTAAAATAATGGGCGACCAAACCGCACTATGTAATTGGGACTCTCGATAAAACAGAATCTAAATTTAGAAACCAAACCTCATATTAACTACAACCTCTACATTACATGATTTTCTCAAGGATTATTCGCAGTAAAATATAGTTTTACACACACACACTGTTACGCACATACGCATACAGCAGAGTTATTAAGAAGCTAAAAGCAGTTTACCTTCAATTAGTGAACAAAATCCCCGCCTTTCATATAACAGACAGGTTGATTACCGTTATCACAGACGCCTACAGCCAGTCTCTACCCTGAGCCAGATGAGTCCAATCCCAAGGGGTTAGATCTCGTGATTTATGGACACCATTGTGACAGTTTCAATCAATATTTCGTGGAAAGACACGCAGGCAATTATTTGGTCAGAGGAAAAAAAAATGACCACGAACTTTAATGAGAAATTACCTTGAAAAAGAACAATTCTAATACTAATTTTAGACAGTAAGTTCTTATTTTCGCACCGCTAGCCAGTTAGTGGCATTATTCATCCCGCCAGCTGACAGCCGATCAATCGGCCACGTCAGTGCCCCTCTGTAAACAGTCTCAGCTTCTATGTTTTACGATCCCTAACGCAGAGTGGTTGGTATCTGTTCGCAGGCCAGGTCAGAGGAGACTCCAACAGGCCAACACGTAGTAGACAAACGTCACGTCGGAGCGCTGGCTCGCACTGGCCAGCTACCCTTCCAAGGTAAGCGTTCTTATGCCGCTCTGGCGCGTAACGGCGACCTGCCCTTCAACGTGCGAGAACAGTGGATCAAGAAGACGCACCCCATGATGACAGGCAGCGGCGGCAGGTACCTCGAAGACCTGCTGCTCCCCCCCACAACCAAGCGCTACGTAGGGTCACTGGCCAAGAGCGGAGGACTCCCATTCAGCCGCGTTGAAGGCAAGCGAACAGACGAAGGCAGTGAAGCGAGCGAGGTGGACAACTTGCTGCAGAGCGTGCTGGAAACAGAGGATCTGTGGCGACTCCAGCTCACGGCCCTGAAACAAGAGCTGCTCCGAGAGCAGGAGGAGGAACTTGAGAACCAGCTGCAAGAAGACGATACCGACGAGGAAAAACGCAACGTTGGGTCACTTGCCAGAAGCGGCAACATGCCTTTCAAGAACGGCAAGAGAAGTGTCGAGGCATTGGCCCGCGCCGGGTACTTGCCGGTCCCCAAACAACCGCAGGAGTCGGCAGACTACCCACACGACAGCAACGAGGACAGCGAGGAGCTGGTCGGCAAACGAAGCATCGCGGTCCTGGCCAAGAACGGTCAGCTGAGCGCTCATGGCTTGAAGGACCTCTTCCACGAAGGAGGCAACCGGGGAGACGACGCGTATCTGGAATATCTGCACCAGAAGAGGGAAGGCGATGAAGCAGGAGAAGGTCTGGACGAGCTGATTCAGGAACTGTACCAGGAGGGACAGGAAACCGGGAAGAGGAACATAGGGTCACTAGCCAGAGGGTACAATTTTCCATACCACGGAAGAAAGAGGACCCTGGGGTCTATTGTTCGTTCGGGTGGATTCAGATTTGGTGGAGCAACCAAGAAAGTTGGCGACGACGATAAACGCAGTGTGACATCTTTGATTCGACACCGGATAAACCCGTTCCAAGAAGGGAAGCGATACATCGGTTCAGTCATGAGGAATCAAGGTTCCCATTTTGGGTTGTCAAAGAAAGACGATTCTGAGTTAGAGGATGACGCAAAGAGGAACATTGGAGCAATGGTCAGGAACTGGTACCTACCGGAGCACCTCAAATATGGGAAACGCCCCAATGACGAAGACGATGAAGTGGAAGACGACACGGCCAAGCGATCCGTGCCGACGGGCCTGAAGGACGAGAAGCAGGTCCAGGCGACAGCGACGGCGAAACAGAAGAGAACCAAGAGGCAGGCGTTCCTGGTTCCAGCGACCTCTTCTGACGAGTACCCTATGCCGGTCATGCAGAACTCTGACTTGTTCGACTACGAGGACCTGGCGGAACTATTGTCTGGAGGTGCAGCGCCCGAGAAGCGGTTCCTCGGTGAGTACAATAGGTTACTATGGCAACGGACGCCAATGTCCTAAACTGAAGCTTGCGTTCTGTATTTCTTTATTAGAAGATATGACGATACTTTTCACCTGCATAGAGAGTATAGAATTCGTCAGATTATGAATTATAAAGGATAAAAACGAAGTAGTTTGTGGTATATTGAAAAATGTTGTCTTCATTTAGGGAAGCTGAGTAAATACACGGAAAACGTTGTCAGGACACACACTGTCCAAGTCGAGAATGCATTTCTTAAATTCTATGTAAAGATATCTATATATTTAAGTCATTTAAGTCTTATATAAATAAATTTAATCAATTTTAATCAAATGAATAAAACTTGAAATTTAAAACGCGTACAGACCATAGGCATTCAAGTTATTTTTTGGTATTTTTCGACCAATGAAGAGCTGTTTCGAAATCTGCAAATCCCGAGTACGAAATGTCGAACCCCGGATCTGAGTACTCCCGCAAGGAGTCATTGTAAGAATGTCGGCTTACGCTGAAAACTTCCTTTCTGTAACAATAATCACGTTGTTAAGAAACTTACAGGTGCCAGTATGCTAATGACAGTCAATTATCGAAGCTTCAAGCCGTCGTCTGGCTGTGACTTAAACTTAAAATCAATGTAGTAGTTATACAGAACGCCTTCTGTTTGCTGTCAGATGTGACTGAGATTTTAATTAAAGTGTCACAGTTAACTAAGCACGTAAGTATTGCACGCCAAAATGGGCCACTGCCTGAGTGTTCAGTGTTGTTTGTGCATAGCAAAACACGTGACTCGTCTGTTCCTTCGCCCCTTACTTCCGTTCGTTCTTCTTCTCTGTTTATTTCGTTTCACTTGAGTGTCTTCGGCACTGGAATTAAAATCAAAATAATAGGATAACATAAAAAAGACACGCGGAACAAACAAAATCCAAAAAAAAAAACTGTCTTTTGAGATGTTGCTTTGTGTAGTCTGGTAGAATTGTACCGACGTTTCGGAGGTACTTACTACCTCCATCATCAGGGCGATCATCTCTCTCCAATATCAGGTAAACAATTAATTTTTTTTAAATAAATACGGGTTAGCGGCTGAGCGTACTCGTTAAAAACTGTGAGGTTAGTTTAGATAGGGCGTTTATTGTTCGTGGTATTAAACACAAAGTAATATTTGTAGTTTGCGATACATACCCATGTATATATATATATATATATATATTATTTGTAGACAGTAACACAATTATGAATGTAGTAGCTGACTGTTGTACTTGATTGTTCAAAACGCTTTAGTATCAATATTAGTTTATAAGATGGGCCCAGTAGACTTTGTCGATTCATTGAGCACATAATAAATGTCACTGTAGGTTCGATTAGTTGCTCTGTTAATGGCAGCAGATAACGCTGCATGTGGCACGACTACGACCCGATCTTCAGTAGATAATGATTGATTGATTGATTGATGGATGGATGCTGTTGGTTAAATCCGCATGAATACAGATGTCCGTAGCGTAGAGATTTCTTTTTTTTCCTATTTACCCTTCATTACCCTACTCAGCAAAGTCGAATAATCCATTTGTTTCCGACTTAATCATTTTTGCATCAAGAAATCCTTGATTTTACTCAGCGAATCCAACAAATAATGTAGCAGCGAGGCGTTTCTATTCACTGCCCAGATCTTTTTTATCGACGAAAATTTATTCAATCGATAATCGATCGACTGCCCGCATTGTCCAATTTTTACACCCCCCCCCCCCCCCCCCCCGCTTTTTCTGTATCTCCACGTCATTCGACAAAACATCCCGGCTTGTAAACTCCACGAAATGCACCGTCGCCCTCGAGACGATGACAGTTGCTCAGCTGAGTAAGAAGTCCCCTAACTTTTATTAAACAGAACCTATGCCATTCGGCTTAAGCCCTTCTTGCCAAAAACATCAGAGATATAAAAACCCGAAATTCCTAAGGTGCATCCCGTCCGTATCGATAGTTCATCTTATCGATCCTGTACCGCCTTCCTTCGGAACTATTTTTATTTTTCGATTTTTTTTTTTTTTGCACATGTAGGAATAATTCGATTTCGTGGATGATCAAAGGGTATTTTCATTATTTCATAACATTCCTAGTTTCTTATTATACCCGCCGTCAACAAGTTTTATACCCCGCATATGATTCGGAATTTTTTTATTCAGAATCACCCTGTATAACGGTAAATTCATAACAGAATCAACAAAAATATTACCGAAATATTCCTTCTTGAATGCCAAAGCCGTCCACTGCAGTCACCTGGTATTTTGTCGCATGGTAGAGTAGCTGTATCTCTGACCACAGTAGTTAGCCTTTCGCTGTTCTTTGCAATGCACAGTAGAATCTAGTAGCTAGATTTCGGGGGGGAGGGGTCGCAGATAAGACTCTGATATTACAGGCTCCGTGGCCCGGAGCGGATGGTTCCGGGATGGTAGCCAAAATCGGCTGATACAGTCTAGCCCAATGGCAAAACGACATATCGGCTCTCTGGCGCGTTTGGGATGGCTGCCTGGATTTCGCAGTTCCCGGTATAGCCGCTCGGGCCGAGCGCTGTCCGACCCCCTGGGGGACCCGGATGACGATGACGACGAGGGCGATTCGACGAGCGCCTCCAGGTCCGGGCTGGCCGACTCTCGAAACACACTCGCTGCCAGCGAGCACATCCTATACCACTAAGCACTTGTACGACTTCACGAGCAAGGTACACGGCACACCGTGCCCCTAGAATGTTGAAGTACTTACTTTCATTACAACATGCATCATATGAATCCAGTGTTAATTAAAATTAAGCTCGAATTTCCTTTCTTTCTAAATATCTTTAGATTACTGTAGTATTAAACAGCAAGTAGAGAGAAGAGTAAGGGACGAATTTATTTAATGGCCACTACGAATATAATAAATTCTAACACAATAAAATAAATAAATAATTGTTCTAACACAAACGTTACATTTATCATGGCCGTAATTACGGACGTAGTAGACTGTTGGGTTTCAGACCGAGCACGTACCTAAGACCCTCGGCGCGAATACAATAAGAAGCACCCCTCCCACTCAAGTGAAAGCATCCCAGCTCTAAGATCCAGTTTTCTCTTTCTAAGAACGCGTGTACCAAATAACACTAAGGCGCGGGCTTACACCTAAGGCCAAGGAATGTTCTGTTCTTATGCACCTCGAGGATTCAGTGCCCTGTTCAACGAAGACCGCCCAGTTCTCTAAAATCCACTTTAATACAGTTTTCTTTACATCTATGCCTCAGTGGTTTATCGACGACATTTTTGTATGAATTTTTCATCCCTTCCATCCCACTGTCTTTGAATTAATTAATCAATGGCGTGCAGAGTACAAACGAATAAATTTCGTAATTCTGTCCACTCTGGAGCACATCACTTACGAACTGAGTAAAGAACACGAAATTCTTTTAGATTCTCACGCAGGCGCAGATGTCGAGTTGGTCTTCTGAGTGACGTCGTATGGATTTGTAGGCAGATACCACCGTTTCGGCGGGGGGGGGGGGGGCTTTAATTGACATTAAAAACATTTGAACTTTAGATTGAGAGGCGAAACAAACATCTAGTTTTTTGGAGAAACTTGGTCGAGCCGATAATTCCTTCAAGTTTTTGCTAGACGAATGAAATCACAACGGATACGCTCAGTGGGCGGAAACGGATATAATTTTAACTGATGTAAAAAGTATTAACTTCCGATTGCTTTAATAACGTTGCCAGCAGCTGAGATCATACAGCGTCGATTCTCAGGTGGTTACTGAACTGGAGACGAATATCACCAGAAACATAAATAAGGACAGCCTAATCTTGTGGACGAGACTTGAACTCGCAGCTTCCCGAACGCAACTCCAACACGACGTTGAGCAACGCAGGACGCATCTGCAAGTAGATCAGACGCCTAATCTTGTTCAGGAGCCGCGTGCAGGCAATAAATCGTGCAAAACCCAGTTCCACGTGGCTCGGAGGATCACGGCGCGTTCTTCGAAATTGCAACAGATGTGACTCATCCATACAGGGCGGTCCAAAACTTCTGAACTACTTCGTAAGTCCCAATGGATGACGACGTGTCTGAGGAAAATTTTGACAGGTTGCCGAACTTATTAAACCACTGAAGGGCAAAGTTCATGTGGGTAATATTTAAGAATTCAGTCTGAGGCCTATTTCATGCTAAAACATCTCAAGAACGGCCTAAGCTCTGCTATCCCTAACATAGGAAATATTATATTTTAGATTGACTGTTCTCTAAGTCTTTTAACGTTATTATATCAACTTCACAAGTTATTTAACATCGAATGATGTTACAGAATGACTGTGTCAAGTGAAGAGAAGTGATAACGAATGACAAAAAGAACAGAAAGAAAATATTAATAGATACGTAGGCCCACAAACAGGAAGGAATCAGAGAGGAAATGTCGCCTGTGGTTGTCGCAGAGTTCATAACAACAATATCAGCGCCGAGTGGCACGAAAACCGGTTGCGTTCTGTTTCGGGTTTCCTTAATTTCGTCCCAAATGTGACACCCCGGGGTGACGAGGTTGCGGCGTAGCCCCCGGGAAAGAATCCCTCCAAGCCAGGATTTGGCCAGCTTATGGAGAGAGGCACCCGCGTATATTGCGAAGGTCCGTGCAACAGTGTGTCATATACACACGGCAACCGGGTCGAAGTCAACCCGCGTGCCACCCGTGCAAACTTTTGCGACTGACACAGCGGCCTCATTGGACGAACAAGCCAACTAGAACCCTCCTCTCGAATCCCTGCCTTAAACCACACAGCGAATGGATTTCTTGTATATATTGTCGTTGTGTTGCCTGGCAACCGTTCAGTGCATAAAGCGATCGCTGTGAGGGGTGGAGTGAGATGTTTCAGCCAACTGGAACTCGTATTCATCAGGTTCTTATAATGAACAAATAATTTAATCACTTAAGTGCAGTCTGTTCGAATAAAGCCCGGAGCCTTCGGGAGTAATTTCGTTAAGGTGACTCACGGAGTCTCTCTGCATCACAGATGAAATTTGCAGTTGCCAGGAGTCTTTGTTATACAGTTTCTGTATAGGAATGTTATCTGTCGTACAAGCAACTTCCCTGCAAGAGATAAAAACCCCTTCACTTTAACCAACGTCTGTATACTCGAGGAACAAAAATTAAACAAGTATTATCACCACGTGCAAGACACGACAAGGTCAGCTGTTAAACAAAAGCTGAACTAGAGCCAAAGATCATAGCAATAAAGATACGCCACTATTCATCATCAGTCAACGCTACTTCACGGGATTACCTGCAACTTCCTAGAGCGCAATCCGTAAGAAATTCCATTAATCGTTTGTATTTTTTTAAGCTGGGCTATAATTACGTTCTTTTTTTTTACAGGAATGTACTAAAATCAATCCACTGTTTACTTTCCCGGACGATATTTTGTGAAAATGCTTTTCAGATCAGAATAAAGAGCCAAGCTTCATTTTACCGCGACCCAAAGTGTTTTAAGACAGAAATCCGAAGGCTGTTACTTCGACGAAAACAAATGAAGGAGTTATTAAAACAATTCTCGCTCACTCCGTCACAGTTTTTCTGATCCAGTGTCAGACAGAACGTGAACCTACGTGGAAATAAATTCATTTCAGAACGTTCTAAATACTAATATGAGCGTCCAAATATGAAATTCGCCCCAAGTTTGTTCGGTGATGCCGACAGAAAATATAAAGGATTGTCTATTAACTGTTTTCGTCCTGTTCGCAGGAAGGATCCCGCAGATGGGGACCAAACGTCCAAGGACAACCCCTTTCCCTGGTCGCAAGAGTCCTCATGCGAGAAACATATGAATGATGACGGTCTTCAAATATCCCCACAGCCGGCAGTGAACTTCTACCTGCTACTGTAACCCCAGAAGATCCCAAACTCACATAGTCCTTTTATGAATTAACCCTCACAAGTAACAACACACAGTAACATGGCTGACTGGACGTCCGGCTCTGATCTCCATTTAAATATCTTCAAAACGTAACCACGGTAGATAACATGTATATAATATACAGAGTTTTATGGCCAAACATAATTGAAGCTAATGCTCCGAGCTGTGAAACAGTCAGTAATGATTATCAGCTGAAAAAAAAATTGTATTTAGAATTCAAATGCAAATTCACACTATTAATCAAAATGGCTTTAGTACCAAAGAAATATTGTGATACATAACCTGAGGAAGGAAAGCGAAACACCGAGTGCATTGAAGTACCACGTACCTTCACTACGTCATGGTTTATATGCATGTCTTGTACAGGCCTTAGTTCGATACTCTCGCAAATAACTTCCGGGCATAAGTGACACTAGGAAGTTTTTTGTGTGTTTCGTCGAGGTCATTCCGGCAGTCGGACAGCTCGCAAATAACTTCCGGGTTTAAGTGACACTAGGAACTTTTTTGTGTTTTTCGTCGAGGTCATTCCGGCAGTCGGAAAATCACTTTCGGTCTGAGAGCGAAAGTTTGAAGTTCAGACGTCATCGAAGCAGGCCCAACTCATTCTGGTGGAGTGTCATTACTGTGCATTACTGAAGCCGGACCTTGGAACCAGTTCATTACACTCCATGACGCACAATCGAAGGTCTCTGTTCCTGCCCTCAAAACATTAGACGCTCGTTCGTTCTTAAATTTGTCACACATAACAAGCTTCTTTATTCAACTGTTTGTCGTGACGTCAGCACAATCGATACAAATAGTCTCGTTCCGTTCCTTTCGACATCTGCTGCTATAAAAAGGATACCGGCTGCCGCTACTGTCATGACAGTACACAAGACCACTGACAAGGCCGGCAACTACCACCTCACCGACATCCGCTGACTCTTTCGCGACAAAATTCACGGTTGCAGCCAAAATGAACCATCACAAACTGAAATTACACATCCGTCAGTAAACAATTCTGGTGTCCGAACACTGCGCTGAATGTATACAGGTCACGCGGGCGTAATATGTACTAGAAATTTAACTGTTTTCCTTTGACACCGACGTGTTATATATTACGACGCTGAACTGTAATAAGCGGGGATTAAAAGTCATGAACAGCTTCCGATGTTAACAGACGAAACGAGATGCTACCGGTGAAGCACACATATAAGATTTGGTAATTAAAATTTATTATTAAATGGAGATCAGAACTTTCGAATAAGCCGACTCTGATCAGTGTTAAAAATAATATACTTAATTGTAACGTGGGTGGAAATCTTATGTAATGGCCTGTTTATCAGCTGTTTTCAAGCGGGGACTGATTTGCATGTCCACTGATCCCGCATAACCTTAAAAAAAATGTATTTTATAAAAGACGTAAGAGATGCGAACATGTCTTCGCCAAATTTAAGACATATATTAAACCTTAATTCGAAGACATGTTCCCGTCGAACTGCATGTTTAAGGAAAACCATTAGAACTAATTCAATTGTATTCTTCGATGTTATATCGTGACGTAACCTCTGTGTTAATTTTGTGCATTTCGGTCCAAACTCTGGCAACAAGCACGGAAATGCATTATCTAAATCCTTGAAGAAGGGAAAAGAGACCAATAACCAAAGCCACATTCGCTAGAGTTCACTTAAATGACAAATAAGTCAACTTTAAAAAATATATTCGGAATATTTATTCGTCACTTAAATGACAAGAAAAGATTATTCATGCTTCATTGTAATATTTTATAAATATCCTTAAAAACAGAGAATTGTAACAATATTCGAGTTCTTCCAAGCGAAACCTCGTTTTATGACTAATTTTTGGTTTGTCATGCGAAATGACTCTGTTGGGAGACAACAGGACCCGACAATCTTTGCTGTGCAAGACATTAAAATCATCAAAACACTTCCCTCGCTTGTGGACTGTGTTAAGGCCTGAAATACGTAGTACACATTACAAACTTCTCCTGCAACTGTCAATTACTTTAATCATTCAAAATAGTTAGCAGTTCTTTTAAAATATATCTCAAATCCCTCGTGTAATTATAAACCTAGAGGTTTGTAATAACACTGAAATTCAACCTATCTCTTATCATGTTACTGTTCCAAAATAATTTCTTTGAAGAGAGGTAAAAAGTATTAAATCGTTTTATCAATTATTCATATAAGAATTAAATTGTACTCGTAACAAAATAATAATTGTTCCAAAAATATTGCTTGAAACAGCAATAATCCTACTTAACAGACAATACATTTAATTACCGATCAGAATATTGCATCTGCTTTGTACAGACAACACACAGTCGGTAAATGTCACTGCAAACCAACTTCCAAATACCTTAATACAGCCTAGACTTTGCGTAAGAAGTTCCTATATCATTCAATTTAAACTGCAGCTGACATCATATACGCAAAGGTATTTATGGACCTACAACGCCAATTCGCTTGTAATCTCTTTCATTCGACGGGAGTACCGTGGCACAATACAACAAAAATGTCTTCCATTCTGATCTCAAATGACATCACACACACACGCACATTTCATTGCTTATAAATAAATAGTGCGTACATTTATAAATCAAGTTGGTCTATGTTGCGTACAGATACAATGGTTTTAAATTCATAACAACTGCAGTTGAAACGCACAGTCGATCGACAGTCATAAACAAAAATCAGACAATAAAATTATATGCTCCTAAATGTTGTTTTTCCGTAACCACAATGGGAATGTTCAACGCCTTAACACATCGACGTAGGCCATGCAAGCGAGAATTCCAAAAATGCCATAAGAATTATTTTTCATGCCGATACTAATGACAATAATATTACCAAATAAAATTATGTCCTATATAAAATAATAATGTCAGGTTTCTGCGACCTTAACCTTTCTGGATATTATATAATGTCAAGACATGTGAGATTACTGACAATAATTATTGTAATCGAATGTTAATATGGTGCAATTAATTTTATACAAGCCCCTAATTAAATCATCGGTAAACGAGTACGTGAAAGTTAATGACAGAAAATTCAACTTTCAAAAATTCTTCTTTCATAATTATAAATCGGATGTACAGTTCCTTTGTATTAAGGGATAAAATTAAAAATCAATTTCACTAATGACGAGATAAATATAATTACATGAATTGTTCATATTTTGTTAGACAATAATAATTTATTATATATTTACGATATTTATTCCACGTTAAGTGTACTGTTTCCCTGTACTTACGGACAATAATCACCATAGATTGTAGATCGCCAGCCCTAACTAACTCTTAAGAGAATGTACAATCATTTAAATTGTTGTAAGAGTCGGAATATCGTTGTACAATAATAACCTGGTGTTATCATCCCACTTGAGTTGACACAAATAAAGAAATACCCAAGATTCTAACCTCAAAGCCGTTATCAGTGACTTTATCCTTTCTGAGTACAATACATGGATGTCAACCACGACAGTCGTTTAACAAATGCCCTGAATTGAAATTTATCAGCTGACCACAGGGTTTTTTCATAAAACTGGACCGGAAGCTTTATGGTGTCTGAAGAACCTTGAGACAGGATACGGTCTCTTACAATCCGGTGTGACAAGAAATGAGCGTGAATGCCCCGATATTCGACCTTGAGTCCGTGCTGAGGCACGTATCGCGTGGTCGGCAGGTAAGTGGGAGAACAGGGCGGCCCACTGACTCAGTGCCTTATCGAGGAAGCAACCATCGTCGAGCTGAACGAGGACAAGTCAAGTGCCGACGAACCAGACGCTGCGGATGGAAGTGACAAGTAAGTGATGTGTGTATTATTTTTCACTTTTACTTATTAAATATGATTCGAATGATGGCTGGGAGACCTAGGCGTAAATAGAAGGATATTATTAAAATGGATATTGAATAAACAAGATGTGAAGTACTGTTAGGGTTTGGATGAAGTGGCGGGCTCTTGTGAACACGTCGATCAACCTTGAGGGCGGAAAATTCTCGACCGGCAGGCACAATATGAATTTTTGTTTTTCAGGTAATGCCCATCACCATGTAATTCCGTGAAAAACAGACTATACATCGCGATAACTGAAATCATCTTGTTCCAAACATTTAATCAATGATCTCTGATCTACTGGTCATGTGTCATTACAAATCAGTTACCTACTACGTCCGCATCGGAGCATGACTCAGGCAGCGAACGTGTTGCTACCTGCCCGGCAGCGTCGGCATATCGCGAACATGAATCATCGAAAGGAGAACTTATGCGAAACGCGATAAGATATTTCCGAACAGCTTAGCGCGCGTTTAGTTAGTGAAAGTATACATCGTCCCGCGCGGTCACTGGGACCGTGGGTTCGAATCCTACTCGAGGAATGACCGTTCTTTTCTCCTGTATAGGTAGAGGCCTTGCGAATATTAGCTTTGTGAAGCTTAGATTTCTGAGGCTCATATTAGGGCCCTACCAAATAATCTGAAGCGTCATGCACGTAACTAGAAAGCTGATTTGTGAATGTTCTGTTTTCAGATCGTCATTTTGTGTAAACGAGCAACAAGAAATGGGCAGCCAAACAGAGAAACTCAACGCATCTTTCCTAGAAGCTATCTGGTCCAGCGATCTCAAGTATGCCAAGAGATTGCTGAACGAGGGAGCGGACATCGAGACGGCGAATGAGTTCGGCGAGAACGCGTTGCGCATAGCAGCTCAGAACGGGAGCGTGGAGTGCATTCGGCTTCTGCTCGAGCGAGGTGCAAAACTCGACTCCAAGAACGAGCAGGGGGTGACCGCCCTGCACACCGCCACTATTTTCAAAGCTCTGGGCTGCGTCAAATTTCTCCTGGATAAAGGCGCGGACGTCAACGCCCGGGACTCAGAGGGCGTCACCGCTCTACACATAGCCGCACTCAACGAGCACTTCGACTGCGTCAAGATGATTCTCGAGAGGGGCGCAGACGTCAAGGCGAAAAGCACAGGAGGGTGGACCCCGCTGCACACGGTCGCACAGAGTGGACATCTCGACTGCGTCAGACTGCTGCTGGAGAACGGAGCAAACTCAAACGAGAAGACGGTGGCGGAAGGGTGGACCCCGCTGTACGTCGCGGCAGAGAAAGGTCACACGAACTGCGTTCACCTGCTGCTGCAACATGGAGCGAAAGTGAACTCGGAAATCCTGCACGTTACCTCTCACGATTCTCTTAAGGCACTCCTAAAGAACGGAGCAAATGCCAACGCAAAGGACAGCAGAGGGTACACCGTCCTCCACACGGTTGCTGAAAATGGAGACGTCAAGTCCCTCGAGATCCTGCTCAAGTACGACGCAGACATTCACGCAACAACACCCGAACGCGATTCGGCGCTCCACGTATCAGCGTCCAGCGGTCGTCTAGACTGCGTCATGATATTGCTGAAGAAGGGAGCCAATGTTCATGCCAAAAACGTCTTGGGACTGACAGCCCTTCACAAAGCGGCGGAACAAGGGCACGTGGACTGTGTGAAGGCACTGGTTGAGAAGGGCACGAAGGTCGATTCAAAAGACGACAAAGGCGGGACTCCACTTCACAAAGCTCTTGAGAGGGGGCACCTCAAGTGTGCCGAGTTGCTGCTACGTCACAGGGCAGATAAGCACGCGACAACCATATATGGGCACACGGCTCTGCACAGGGCTGCGAGGTGCGGCCATTGGGAATGTGTCAAGATGCTGATCGACAAGGGTGCGGACGTTCGAATGAAGAGTGCCCTGGGCAACACGGCGCTGTACCTGGCTGCACAAAACGGGAACCCAAACTGCGTAAAATTTCTAATCGAGGTTGGAGCTGACGTAAACGACAAGAGTAAGGGTGGGTGGACAGCTCTGCACATAGCGTCACAAAATGGTCACATCGAGTGCGTCAAACTGCTACTCTCGCGCGGAGCTGACGTTGGGACGAAGAGCGCTGGCGGGTTGACGCCCGTCCACGTTGCGTCACACAGCGGTCACTCAGACTGCGTCCTCGCGCTCGTGAAGAAAGGAGCCGACGTAAATGCCCGAGGGAGCGACGGCTGGACAGCGCTGCACCGCGCTTCCCAGAGTGGACAAGCGAAGTGCATTCAGACGCTCCTCGACAACGGGGCGACTGTTCACGAAGCGACCGACGGCGAACAGTGCACAGCATTGTACATAGCCGCTCAGAACGGACACACCGAAGCGGTCAAGATGTTGCTTCGTAAGGGTGCGAACCCGGGCATGCAGACCAGGGGAAAGTGGTTGCCACTGCACACTGCTGCCCAAAATGGGCACCTCAGCTGTGCGGAGGAGCTGCTGGAGAACGGAGCGCCAGTGGACGCGAAGAGTTCCGTGGGGTGGACTCCGCTGCACTGCGCAGCACGTGGGGGAAGACTGGCGACCCTGAAACTGCTCCTTCACAGCGGCGCCAAGCAGGACAGACGCACGGTGGACGGGAAGACGGCTCTGGACCTGGCCACAGAGCACAACCACGCCGACTGCGTCAGCTTCCTCACCAAGAAGAGGTCATCGAGGATCACCAGGAGGAAGTAACACGATCACAACTCATTCTCGCAACATATTTGTTCTTATATAGAGTACGAGTAAAAATAAACTCTTCTATCATCAGCTAAATATTTGTGGCTCTTGGGGGGGGGGGAATTCAAATTACAAATCTGCAGTTTACCGTTCTCGAAATTCAACCGACACGTAAAGTGTTGGAACTAGTTGCCGCGAAGTGCAAGTTTTACGTTAATATCGGAAGTTCACAGCAGATGGAGAAGTGGTTACCACGTGAAATGATAGCTCTATGATCTTTTTATACTAAAAAAAATTTGTAAAAATCTATATTTCTCTAAGTATAATAGCTTGTTATCCATAGACATAATCAAGAAATTAAATTTGAAGTCATTTTACCACGCTGTGCACACTACAAACACCTTGATTTTATAATTCAACGTTTAATGATAAGAATGATCAAGCGGTCAATAAATGTACCACCTGCTGTAACATAAGTGCATTTTGTATGTATTGGTTCATTATTATTCTCAGTGTAAACAGCGATCATTTCCTTAAACAGCGTTAACCAGTTGATCTTTGTAATGGTGAAGTGTCGTGTTTTCTTCGCGGTACGGACTGGATTCTTAAACCGGGTTAACAATACGTTTCCGTTCTATGAACTAATATCAGTTTTCTTTAAAATACACATTTTTATTTTTATATATTCAATTTCTTTTACTGCGTCTCGTATTATTGTCATTTCCCCCTCGTTTTCAAAATATTAATCTGAAAATTTCTTCCACGAACATCAATAACTATATTAAAAACAATTATTCGATTTCTAAACTATGTTCTTCGTCTGACACACTCTGAAACTGATGAAAATGTGGGTCCATTAGAAATCAATGGACCTTGCTCACTCATTCCCCCACCCACTGAACTAGGTTTTGTGACGGAATCGGTGAGAAAAAAAACGCAACCTTATCGGACCACCTTGAATGTTATCGGGTACAACGCTACGCAATTTGAGGCACGAAAGTAGGACCTGCCTCGCGATCTCTGTATGCATCACAAGGTCTCACTCAGCTATATCTTACAGCCTACCTCCTAAGTATAGTTCTAATGACGTCATGTATGATTAAACAGATAAACAATGTTAAATTAACAGCGAAGCGCTAATCGTCGCTGATATCACAAAGGAACACGCCGCGAAGAGAACTGAAGTGTCGTAACTGTGTCTTCTGACGATGGAATGGTAAGTTTGCTCTCTAAGTAGTTGCAAGTGTCACAGGTGGTGACAGGAAAATCGCTCTGGTGGTCTCAGAAAATATTTGCCGTGAAAAACCGGTAAACGAGGTAAGACAGCGAGAGACGGGGCTCGAAACAGGTATCCTAGAAATTTCAACGCAAGGACAACTGTCGCTGTTTTCAGGTACGTGTGTGTATGTGGTGGGAGGAGTATCGCCTTGAATTTCGTCAAATAATACCGACGCCACAACGAATTATGTTTCAAACAGTACTCAAGAAACCCTAAGAACAAACAGTCTATATTTTGTGCCATATTCAAAATCCTTTCTCACTCTAGAAACACTCACAATCGCTGTCTTGATGCAATGTTGCAAGTTGTAGTAGACATAAGTGAATTTGAACGACGCTTATCAGGCGATTAAACGTACCCTTTCAAACTAGTTTGTACATTCTGAAAACGTGAGTGTTTAACGTCGAGGGATTAATTAAATAAATCCCAGTTATCATCATCGTAATTAAGAAACTGCTGTCGTCAGAGGCCTATGGAATACGCAAACTGTCTCGAGCAGGAAGGTGGTGGCTACCTGCTCCTAGAAGGTAGACGGCCTACTATGTTAAATTAATTACGAGAATATTTTTATATGAAAAAACACTGATATTTCCTACAATTTAATGTAAATACTTGCTCCAAAGACAAAATATAAATGTCTCTGGTTCCATGAGGGTTAGTATGAAACTGTTGCACATAGACATTCTTGAAACAGGGAAATCTCGTTGAACATGCAGGACTTTACTTCCATAAGGTTGGCTGCGAGAGGGATTGGGTAGCCATCTTGATGTTTCAGACAGAGTTTATATAACGATTATCTGCGTAGGACGGATGCGATTAAAAACGCATACAGAATTTTTTGTGGTGGGGGGGAATTCTCAGAGTTCCATTCGGAAGATCCAGCAAGGTCATATGACAATATTAAAATTGTTCTCAGGCAAGTGAGTTGCGATAAAGTAAATTTAATTTCCTATGGAATTAAATTTGTCTGCATTAACAGCACATTTAATTTTGGAAATGTTTGGTGATATTCAGTTTACAAAATGACCACCTGTTATCTGGGAATATTAAAATACCAGCAAAGAAAACTGAACTTCTATGCCTTGTTATGTACTAATGAGAAATTGATGTCTCAAGGTAACGGGCCAACAGATTGAGTTTTTGAACGATGAACCAATAAACCGAAATCAGACCTAAGAGACGGAGAGTAATAAGAAGATAGAGAAAATTACACAAAGAGTAACATTATGATTCATATCGGGGTGATATGCAGTGCCCACTGAGATGAGAAGTATGTCTACAGAAATAATTAACATATAAAATCCGTCAGCCACTTAAAAATATTCGCTCTCCCACTAAGAAGCATCACCCGTTACTCTAATTTCTGTATAGTCAACACCGGTCTCCGCCACTTCGTGGCGAGCGGACGACCGGATTTCTGGAGCCCCGTACGAAGGGCCTAGACAACTTAAGGAAAGATTTGCACATGGGCGTATAACATTACACCGCGTTTCAAGAGATAGGTTTTAAGGGCGAATAGTTATACTAAAGGTAATTGTTTTCCTTGGATTTTGTAATTATATTTCGTTCACATGATTGTAACGCAATAATTCAGATAACAACTGGAGAAATGAAAAGATAGACTGACTGATAGATAAAGAAAGAAGGCAGACACGAGAGTCGGTAAAACGGCTTAGCTTTCTTGGTCCAGATATGGGAAACTCGCTGTTGCACGAGGCTGCAGGGGCCGGCGACGAGGCACAACTGTCCCGTCTGCTGGACGAAGGAGACATCGGGGAACGGAATCAGTTCGGGGAGACGGCGCTACACATCGCGGCGGGGTATGGCCAGACACAGTGCGTCAGACTGCTCCTGGACCGGGGCGCGGAGACGGACGTCAGGGACAATAAAGGGAACACAGCTCTTCAAATCGCGAGCGACTACGGCAGGACCCACTGCGTCCAATTCTTGCTGGACAGAGGCGCCCAGATCGACTCCAGGAACGAGACGGGAATGACCGCACTTCACCTCGCCACACTCGGAGCGCGTGCCGACTGTGTCAAGCTGCTGATCAAGAGAGGCGCTGCTGTCAACCTCGTCACCGAAACCGGGGAAACCGCCCTCCATCTGGCAGCGACAAGGGGAGACGCCGAAGTCATGCGGTTCTTACTAGATAACGGCGCGGACATGGATGCAGCCAACAACCAGGGTGAAACCCCGCTGCACTGCTGTCTTCTGGGAGGGAATCTTGAATGTCTGAAGCTTCTGGCTGAGAACGGTAGAAACTTGGGTAAACCTGACAACGAAGGAAACACCCCCATACACGCTGCAACTGGCGGTGGGAAAGGCGAGTGTCTGAAAGTCTTGCTGCAGTACGCTGCTGACACTGAAGCCAGGAACGCTGACGGCTCAACATACCTCCACGTGGCAGTAGCTAAGGGTCACGTTGAAAGTACGGGGATACTGCTGTCCGCGGGCGCTGATCCAAACGCAACGAACAAGGCAGGAGAATCCGCACTCCATATTACTGCTGAAGCCGGGCACACAGACTGTCTCAGGGCACTGGTTGATTCCGGGGCGAACATTAACATGAAAGATCCCAGGGGTCAGACGCCATTGCACAAAGCGGCTGCCTGCGGACAACTGGACTGCGTGATAGCTCTCCTAGATAACTCAGCAGACCCGACAATTACTCGCGAGGATGGCTACAATTCACTCCACGTGGCATCGATCGGTGGACATCCTGAATGTGTTGCCGTCATATTGCAGCACAACCGATGGGTTGCAAACACAAACCTCAGAGTTGGGACCGCGTGCCAGCTAGCCGCGACGGAAGGCCACTTGAATGTTCTCAAAGTGTTGGTGAAGGCAGGCTGTGACATCAACGAGAATCTTGAAGATCAGGGCACAGTGCTCCACGCGGCTATGTCCCACGACCACTACGACTGTGTTGCTTATCTCCTGGACCACGGCTCAGACGTTCATGCGACGAATCGACAAGGAGCGACAGCTCTGGAACAGGCAGCGTTCGACGGGCTCTCTCGCTACGTGAAACTGTTTCTTGAGATGGGCTCAAACGTTAACAGACGCAGTTACAAGGGACATACATGTCTCCACATCGCAGCATCTCGAGGTCACACTAACTGCACCTCCGTGCTGCTAGAAAAAGGTGCAGACGTCAACATAAGAAACGACAAAGCGTCAACCCCTCTCCACTTGGCGATCTGTGATAATAATCTCGGTTGTGCAAAGCTGCTGGCACAGACGAAAGGCGCAGACCTCAACATCAAAGACTCTGATGGAAACACACCGGCACACGTTGCCGCAGCGAATGGATACGTGGATTTTCTCGCCCTCTTGTTGGAACACGGAGCAGACCCAGAGATCAGGAACGATTCGAAAGCAACGCCTCTGCACAGGGCTGTCGCGCACGGCCACTTGGAATGTGTAAAGCTGCTAATTGAGAGAGGTGCGGACTACGACGCAACCATCCACGGCGGCAGCAGCATGTTGCATCTGGCATCGTCCCGGGGACACACCGGCCTCGTGGCATACCTCTTAGAGAAGGGGGTTGACCCGTCGGGAAGAAACGAGCAGGGTGCTACAGCAGTTCATCTCGCCGCGTTTGAAGGTTTCGTGGATTGTCTGAGACTGCTGACCGAGAGAGGAGCCCAACTTAACTTGGACTGCGGTGGGCAAGGGACGGCGTTGCATGCCGCAGCGTCAAGAGGCCATGCCCACTGTATCGCGTATCTCCTGGACAACGGGGCGGACATGGAAATCGTCAATGAACAGGGAGCAAGTGCATTCCATATGGCGGCCCTTGAAGGGCAAGTAGAGTGCCTGAAACTGTTCCTCCAGAGAGGATTTGACATCAGTGTCGGAGGTCACGGCACGGCCCTTCACGCGGCTGCTTCCAGGGGTCACACACACAGCATCGCGTTTCTTTTGGACAACGGGGCAGATCTGGATGCCAGGGCACAACATGGAAACACCGCGCTGCAGGTGTCGTTGACAGCGGGGCACTTGGAATCCACCAAGTTGTTACTGCAGAGAGGTTCTGACGTAAACCAGAGTGATGAAGACGGGGATACTGGCTTGCACATATCAGCCGCTCACGGAGATATCGAGTCCCTTGCTGTATTACTTGAAAACGGAGCAAACGTGCAGGCTAGAAATGGGCATGGCGCCACTCCTTTACACTATGCGATTCACGAAGGGCACGTGGAATGCGCTGATAGACTTCTGGCAGCAGGAGCGGATGTTAATGA